AATTAATTAAAAATTTAAAGCAAATAAATTAGTCCCCGACAAATGCGCCAAAAACTTGTTTGTTAGATTCCGCAAGTGTATGGATCGTGACAAGTAATAAAGTGGATTTATCAAGTTTGAATATCGTCCCATAGAGACTACTATAAAGTTTTAAACTAACCTATCTTCAATTAAAGTTAAAATGGTACCTAATGATTAAATCAAATTGTGTTTTTTAAACGAAATTCTAATAAATAAAATAACAAACTCAAATTAAAACTGTAGATAAGATTACGTGATTGGATAGTTAGAATTTCTGATTTCACTTAGGTTATTTAATATATATTTAATTCCAATTCATTTAGCCATCTTTTCTTACATGCTAACGATCCAATTGACCTGATATAGTTAGTGGTCTCTCTCGAGCAACGCTAATCCTATTCATATGTCCGCACTTACTATTCTCTATATAAATTCAGGCACATATGAACACATTTATCTATAGGAATTCAACAGGAATTGCATAGCCTATAATTATCTCTCGATCTTTTATAATATTTATGTTAATTACTGTACAAGCTATAATTATACATTACCTATTGATCTAAGTATTATCCCTAAATCAATCAATTGTTACGCAGACAATTAAAGCATTAAACACCCAATAATTAATTAAAAAAATATCAAAATAGCATGAAAATCTTGAAATAAACATATAATAAAAATATTAAGTTGCACCATTCATCCTAACAATAAAAATATTTAGCCACTCATAACATTGAAATTAAACATATAAAAGTGGAAAAATATCATCAAAAATTGACGTAACGTGAAGCTACTCGTGTGTATATATTTTCCAATTTCAACCACCTCTATTTCTCAATTTCAGCCCCTGTTTTTATCCTCCAGCCGTAATGTTTGACTTTTCTTCTCCTCTTTCTTTTCTTTTTCTTTTTCTCTTTGATTTCTCCTGTGTATGTATATATAAAAACAATTCTCTGGTCCAACCTCCACTTTCTGTGCGTGTATATACGTGTGAATTTATAAAACAACAGCCCATTCCTCCAGAATCTGCCCTTTTTTTCTGCTCAATCTGTCGACTATTCTCCTCTAAAGCTGCCCCACTATGCGTATTGTGTATATATAACAAGGCAAACGGGCCTCATTTCTAAATTTTAGCCCAATGTTCTCTTTGTTTATATATTTAATCTCAAGTTGTCAAATTTTGTATCTATTTAGAAGTCCAAAGTGAGGCCCAATTAATTTAATGCTTGCCTCCAAGTCCTCGTACTGTGAATTTGTCCATTTTTTTTGCTATTTTGTATTATTTTCTTCAATTCTTCATTTAAAAATAAAGTTTTACCTACAAAATATAATATAACATAAATTAGGTAGAATTTTATTCAAAAGACAATAAAATATCATAATTTAGAGTTTCGAATAAATATAAAAACTACATTTATCAAGTTGCATAGGTCAGAATCCTTCCCGATAGAATTTGGCCAAGTGACTCGACTCACCTTCATGATCATTACTTTTGATAGGTGTGAAGTCTATTTTTCTCTCATCGAATAACTGCTTCTGAATATTCGAACGTCGAGTTGGTCATCATATTATAAAAGTTGACTTATCAACGAAGTGAACAAGGTGGGATCTATAATGATTTCCTTTGAATAAGATTACACATTCTTCCCTTCTTGTCCCCCTAGTGTCAAAATGGAGTAAAAAGTTTGATTAATCACCAAACTTAGCACAATGTCACATTGTGGTCACTGAACTTCATTTTGCTGCTCAACGATCACTGAACTTACAGACGTACCCCTCCATTCACCACCCACCATCTCAGCCATTTGAAATGGTTTGATGTGTCTTGACGACAGCCGACTTGGCAGTTTACGTCATAAAGTCGGCCATGTTGGACGCGATTTTATTATGAAAAAACATGACAATTCACAATGAAATCAAAATCCCTAACACCATTTCTCTCCATATCGATCAAGAAGCCCTAGATCGATTTCCTTCAAAACCCTCCCCCAAATCGATTCATCTACACTTGGCGATCGGCAGATCTTCATCACCTTCACAGCAATACCAGTTGAAGGTGTGAACCCTACTCCCCAAAATCATAATTCCAACATTGTCTCCATGCCCTACTCGACTACGTGTGAAAGGGGTTTTGAAGAAGGCCACATGCAGGGACCGCAAGGAGGTAAAATCGCTATTTCTGGTCTATTTCTTTTCCTCTTCCCCATACGTGGTATGATTTTTTTACTTTGGTTAGTAAAATTGGGCAAAGACTGGCATATATGTAAAGACTGGTTGCTCTGATGCAAAGAAAAAGAAATTAAAATTTATGTTCATTTGTTGATTTTCAGAGTTGAGAAAATCAGAATCTGTGTATGGCGTTGTAGTTTAATGGAAAGTTGTTCCATTTTTGTTCATAGATTTTGTATTTTGAAAGTTAAAACAATTGTGTTGAAAATGAAATTCCTTTGGTTCATTTATTGATTTTCATTGTTAAGAAACGTAGAATCTGTAGCCATATTTGATGGATGTAATGTTCGAAGATGTTACATATCTAAAATTTAGAGAACTATTGTTGACTTTTTCAATTGCTTGTTTGTGTGATAGATATGGAGGATGACATAGACTTCAATGATTCAGAGAACGACATATCGCCCGGAGATAATGATATGTTGTTCGAGAAAAATGTATGATGGAATTGAGTTAGGTTACGATGGGTGGCAATCTGGTGGGAAGAAGGGGATGATGCGATAGTAGCACATGATGAATACCAGGAGGTCCATGATTTGGAATATTCATCATTTGAAGAAATGTTATCTGGTATTTCATCTGATGATGAGGTCGGGTTTAGATTGCCAGAGTTTATTTGTAAACACACAAGTCTGTACCGAGCAAATCCAGCTTCAAGAATGTGCTAGTGACTCTACACATGTCTATGTGAATGAGCCTTCAAGTCGTGGAACAAGAAGAACAACTTCTACGAGGCGTACTGGAACATGTAGAAGTTGAAGGCAGTAGCTGGGTTATGTGCTGTAGTTGATGTGAATATGTGCTTTTAGATGTTGATATTGACACTAGGAGTCGTGTAATTAAAAAAGTATTTTTTTTGTATTAGCATTAGCTGTTGGTATTGAATGCAGCATGAAAATGTTATTGCTGCTGATTTTTTGTTGTTTTGTCAAGGCAGCTTTATGTCTTGTTGATGGAGTTTGAATTCCGTCGGATGTGCAGGTTACGATGTAAAAAATGAATATGGTATTGATGCTGATTTTTGTGAAATGAAATAATTTTGTTTGGGNTCATTTAGCTTCTAAAAGGCTCAACTGCATTGCTCAAACAAATCCTTTGATATCAAATGGTCATGAGCTATCTTCTGCAAGCATACCAGCAATGTATTCACCTCCTTTAACACCCATTTAACTGCCTTGTATACAACCAGCAGCAACCCCTGCAACATGTACTGTGATAGGAAAGTTTAGCTTCAGCTGCTGGGATTGAAGGCAGCATGGACATCACAATAAAGGCAAATGGAGATTGTTCAAATCATTAGAAAAAGGTCATTAGAAAAGTTTTAATACACAATTAGTTCAAATCAAATACAGGCAAATGGAGATTGTTCTTTAGAAATCACAATATCACGAAATCAAATATCAAGTACAACAGTCTCCAGTTAAACGAAAACAATAAACATGAAATTGGTAGCATGAATAGTCTAGTTGTTACTAAAAAAATATGAAATTAAAAGCTAGTTCTTCTCGTCTCGTAGCCTTCATATATGGAATATGTTCACGACTCTCTTGGCCTTTATTTGCCACTGACGTCCGTGTCTCCTTTACCCTTGTAGAAGATTAGTTTAAGGGATATCTTGACATCTTGTTGTTCGGTAATTTCAGCAGCAATCTTGAACAAACTAGACAGATCTTCAATTGAAAAGCCATTTCGTTCTTCTTTAACACAACTGCATTGACCTCCTTCTTATAATTGATTACGTTTGTGGGTAGGACTTTGCTCCACTCGAAAACCCCATAATCTTTAGTACAACAAAAGAATAACCAACCTACTCCTTCATCCTTTCTAATTTCATCAGTTTCATGACGCCTTCGACACAATTTGGACATTGCATTTTTTTGGGTGTACCCATAATTGACGGCCTGGTTCTTTGTAACCATGGCAAATCCCCTTTTTCTTTCCTACGAAACATAAAATATAATGAATCAATTAATTACTTATGATGTGGTAAAACGTAAACCGGAGCTATTAGCAGAGTAGCCCTATGATGTAAAAACACAGATGACTAATGAAATGGAATATTGGAGCCTTGGACAAAGAACTAAGCTTTTTTGGGCATACCTGTTGGAATGCGGAATCGAAATTAACCAGAAATTAAAAATTTCTTTAATTCAATAAATAAGATCGTCTAGATTTTCACGTGTATATTATATCAAGAATTAGAGATTTAAATTTTTACCTAAATTCGATGATCAATTCTTGAATTCATCCTGAATTACGAACTTCCAGCTTTTTAGATCACGAACTTCCAACTGTTTAATTTCAAGAACTTGATGCTTCGAACCTTCAAGTATTCTATGGTGTTCTTCAAAGTCAAGACTACACCGGTGGGTGAGCACATTCTTTTAATTAAAGCAATAAACTAATTCTTAGACTGGACAATTGAATAAGATGAGAAAATAATTATTTTTCTCTCATTTTCTCTCTCCAAATTTGAATACCATGGAATTATTATATTATGATTGTTGTACAATTCCATTCTGATTTTCTAGGTTCCATCTAATCTCTATTTATAGAGATAGAATAGTTCCAATCCTTGTTCAATAATAATTCCACATTCAAATAAGATTTCTAATTAAAATCTAGATACGAGTTTTAATTAAAGTTTAAATCCAATTAGTTTACATTTAATTACATGTGCAGTCCTCAAACTTCAATTATAATTATAATTAAGTTTACAACTTTCATAGTAATTACAACTGAGTACAAAACTTTATATAATTACAATTAAGCCCAAAACTATTATAATTATCATAATTAAGTTTCAATACTTTATAGAGCTACCATAGGGACCTGATCGGACATATATTATCCAAACTCCAATAATAAAATCATGTCTAGTCGACCTCAGACCACCCAATCTAATATTAGTCTTTGATTTTTCTATTAAAGACAAAAGACTAAACTCTTGAAATATATAAGATCACAGAAGCCAATAAATCTGTAATACTTTCCTCTGACCAGCTGTATATGTATTTTATCCCCGTCTGAGATCCGATACTTAGGTACGAGCATAAATGACCGTTTTGCCTCTCTAATTATTCTCACTAACATAAGTACCATTTTCTTCGACGGTCCGTGAACCAATCACAATTGTCGAAATTTAGTCGTCGCTAAACACTGAAATTAGAATTTTAACCATACAACAGAAAATACTTAAGTAGTCACTCTACCCATTTTTTAGGACGACGGTTCCCCATACGAATTCATGTTCTTTACTTCCCTCATTCTCAAACTCCCAACTCATCAAGATATTTGACCAATCAAATTGATCTCACCCATTGATGAATCAAATAACCATTAAAATCACGAAAAGATATCCATAATCTTGTCTACGGATTTAGATGAAATACACAGCAATCAAGTGAAATTTAATTCTCCGCACGGTCATGCAATAGAAATAAACTCGACATGTGGTTCGTTCAATACGCTCCAAGTGTACTAGTGTCACATTTAACTATTTATGTGATAAGAACAAACCACAAACACGAATAGTGAATTGGTCAACACTACAAGTATAACGTGCCAACCTTTATACATTGGTTGTGAACAAATTATTTATGATCAAAACATAAATTATGTCACGTTGTACTTCTCAACGCAAGTACCCAATTTATATTATCACAAGTGATCATAGGCACTTTAATTCGCATGCTTAATAATAAATAAATGCAATAAATATATAAAAATTACAATTTATTTATTATAAATTATTATTTGATCATAGCAAGATATACTATATGGGAACACAACCCAACAATACCCACATCGACGAATTGCACTTGTGAACTCCAAAAATCAAAGAACAAAGCTTAAGGGATAAAAACAAACGAAATGGAAAATCGAAGCCACGTGTAACAACGTTGTTCGCATTTCATTATGTTATTCGATTCCATTAACAACTCAACCGGATCAACCGAACCAATTTGCACTACAAATCCAATGATATTAAATTACGAAAAGGGAAAAAATTCTCAATTACCTCCGCGTGTTCTCTGAATGCCAACATATTCAACAATCGCCCTTTACAGTCATTTAATTTTGGAATAATTATGATTTTGGGGAGTAGGGTTCACGCTTCCGACGGAGATGTTTGAGGAATTTCACTTCGATGCCAAGATAAATCTAGCATTTTTGATAAATTAGGGTTCCCAAATCGCGGCTTCCGTGACGAAATAAGGAGAGGGGTGTTTGATTCTTTTGACCTGGCAATTCTTTCTCCAATTTCACTTCGATGCCAAGATAAATCCAGCATTTTTGATAAATTAGGGTTCCCAAATCGCGGCTTCCGTGACGAAATAAGGAGAGGGGTGTTTGATTCTTTTGACCTGGCAATTCTTTCTCCAGGTTGGATTATTTAACAGCCACACTTGACTACCATCTTCCACGTAGGCGGACTGTGACGACGAAAGTTGGCGGGTTAGTGATGGAGTGCAACTTTGTACAGTTCAACGAGTGATGAGATGCAAATTAAAGTACAGTGAGTGAAGCGTGACATTATGCAAGGTTCAGTTACTATTGGAACATTTTATTTCATATTTTTTTTTGATGAATTTTTACAATTTTGAAAGTCCATAATTGTTTTCTTTCAAAGTTTTATCTCGTAAAATTTTTGTTATCCATCTCCATTTATTTACTTTAAAGCATGACTCTGCTTAATTTTAAGTTTTGATTATTTTAATATGTTTTGACATTGAGTTAAAATCTTTCAAAGATTGTTAAATCTCATTTAGAGCCTGTTTGGTAACAATTCTCCTTTTCTACAGTAAATCAATTCTCATTTTCAACCACACATTCTTCAATAAAATAATATTTTCCATCACATCAATACTTTTTTCTTCTTTTTCAACCACACATTTCCCATCAAATCACTATTCAAACATCAATTNTATCACTATTCAAAAATCAATTTTTCTCCTAAAAATCCCTACCAAACACACTCTTAGTTAAAATGCATGTGTTTAAAAAGTCGCATGGCGTTAAAAATGAGAATAGTCATTATATTAAAACATAATTTTTTTTATATAAATCATCACGTTATTTTTAACGATATAGAAAGATCTCCTTATTTCTTCATCACGGGTTCTCCCATCATTTTCTTGAAAAGATAATAATATCACACTGGGAAAATTTAAAATGAGTAATGTTTACCATTCTATCATTCATGCAAACACTTCGATGACTTATTGACGGCCCATAAAGTACCTTGCGTGAGGAATAGTTTTACAAAAATGGAGATGAATCGAAATAGCGTCTTATCTTATTTCTGGATTGGGTAGAAAAAATATGAGAAATGCTACATGTACAATGAAAGATGACCAACACTCACAATAGGGGGCCCACTTTTTTTTTGGGAATTTTTTAAGGGATAATTGCAGCTGTAGTCCCAAACATTTCTCTTTTTTACAAACTTTACCTAAACCTTCAATTTGTACCATCCACAGTCTCAAACCTTTCATATTGTTGCAGCATAAGTACAAATAGACAGATTCTGTCCGTATGACCGTTAGTTGACCAATTTTTTTTTTTTTTTACTCTTTTGACAAAATTAAAAGGGCAAATTTGTAATTTTATAATTACTTATCCCTAAAATAATTAAAACAATGTAAAAAACAAAAAAGAAATGAAAAGAAAAGTAATCCACTTCCTCCACCCCACCCCATCCCATCCCACCCTACCCTACCCTACCCCACCCTAACCCTAAAATATTATTATAATTAAAACAATATAACTATTTGCTAAAAGTAGTACCTCATTAGAACAAAATACAATATCTAATTTATAAACTTTCCTCTATTGACAAATCGGGAAAATTAGATGAGTTCTGTTTATCTAATATCTTTTGAAGTTTTCCTATTTTTTCGTATGCTTTATAACTTTATTTTGTGAATGAAATCATATGAAAATTTAGCGCACATATCTCTTGTCAATTCTTAACATTTGACACGCTAATATCGCTTTAAAAATAATATAGCCCGGGTAAAATATTAGTAATTAAAAATGAGTTTGACTTCAAAAATTGAGATCAAAAGAATTATTAGTCCACGTGTGACTCACTTTTTAGAATTCCTTTTTTTCTTCAATTTTATTTTAAATTATACATTTTTCATGGAATTATTTTGACATGTAAATTCAAAAGTTATTCATATTTTTTAATTGAACAATCTTTAAAAATATCACTTTCGACAAAATCTATTGTAAAAAGGGGAAATTGCTGCCGTGGTCCCAAACATTTCATTTTATTGCAGATTACACCCAAACTTTTTATTTTTGCAGCTGAAATCCCAAACCTTTATATATAGTTACAGCGTCGGTCCCAAGCCTTTAATTCCGTCTATAAAACCGTCAGTCAACGTTTCAACAGTAATTTTGACTCGAAAAATTGCAGCGCTGGTCCCAAACCTTTCATTTTGTTGCATATTACACCCAAACCTTTAATTTTTGCGGTCGACGTCCCAATCCTTTATATATAATTACAGCGTTAGTTCATTTCACGCATTTCATCCATAAAATCAT